TGGCCCGGTGCGGCCGGCCCACCCAGCCGCCACCACCTCGCCCGGCTAATGGTTACGCAGTGGAAACCCATCCGGCCCCGTCCCCTCCTCCCCACGCGGCGCTTTTCACCGCTCGCTTCCTTCCTGCCTTGGCTTTCCAAAACAAAGGCGAGATGGCGATGCGGTGGCTCCTGGGGCTCCCTGGACGCCGGCCCGGAGCCCGACGCCCTCTGCCCACGCTTCCTGCCCCGGCATGGGGAGCGAGGGTGGGATGCAGGTGGGATGGAGCTGAGCCGCTGCTCTGGGGGCAAGACCCGGTGCTGCAACCAAACGGCCCCAGGACACCCCTGGATTCACCCCATGCAGTGCCCACCATGGACTGATCAAGTGCTCTGGAAAGTGTTTTATACAGCGAGCAGCTTGGCACGGGCTCAGGTTGAGGGGTGGTAACCCCCAGGCCACGCACCTAGGTCTGCCTGCACCACCGCCACCATGAGGACCGGTTCACTCCTCCGCACTGGGGTGGTACTTCTGCAGGTCTGGTTTATCCCCCCCCCTGCCTGTGCTCTCAGGGCCGTCCTGGCCAGCACCAGCGGCCGCATCCCTACTGCTCCCACTAAACAGCTTCGACACCCCTGGCTCAGCCCCTGCTCTCACTGTGCTCCCTCCACCACAGCTGCCCCTTCCTATGCAACATCTCGGGGTGCCGGGATGTTGCACCCAAACGTGGCCAGCTTTGGAGCTGGGAGCGGGTGGGATCAGCCCAGGCAGCTCAGGTTTCCCTGCCATGCACCTCATGGGTCAATGATTAACGCTGCAGATTGGCTAATCAGCGGAAGAAAACAAAAGGGCTGCTTGCTCCTTCTTAGGATTTGGGTTCTGCCAGCCCTGGGGTTAGTCCAGACAGACTGCAGGGTTGGTTGCATGGTGCTTTTAAAGCTGTGCTCGGCTCTAGGACCTCCACAGGGATGAAATCATCTGACCCAACTCTGTGTATCTGCAGCCCAAAGAGAGCCCTGGCCTTGCTGCTTAGTGAAGGACCACTGTACCGTCACTGGTGTTGGGCCAGTAACCAGCCTTGGCTCTACAGCTGTGCAGGAGGATTGCATGTATCCCTGGGGATGCTGAATGGGCAGGAGGATTGCACGTATCCCTGGAGATGCTGAATGGGCAGGAGGATTGCATGTATCCCTGAATGGTGACCTCCGTGGGCTCAGCGACCGGACCCAGCTCCGCTGCTGCCTTGTTTGGGTAACACATGTCTCTGCTTTTCCTTCCCCACAGGAGGCGGATGGCAGTCCCGGGCTGTGCTTGGCTTATTAAGCCTCCAATCTGCATTTGTCTGATCTGTTGGGGCTTTGCTGCAATTAGACCCCCTCCGGATGCTCCGCGGACTCAGCAGAGCCGCTGGTGCCCGCGTGGCCCCAGCCCCATAGCAGGGTGCACAGGGCACCTCGTCCCAGGGCCATCAGCAGGGAGCCCAGTGGGGTGATGCTGGGGGAGAGCGGAGAGGGCAGGGCTCCTGGCTGCTGTGAATCCATGGGGCTGTGCCCGGTTTGATGTGATTACGCCGGCTGGCAGCCGTCTGGGCTGTAGACAAGTCCCTGTAATTAGCCCTAGATGGTGACAGTGGTATGCGCCTCCCATGCTAAGGAGCCAGGCAGCCCCAACAGGTCTGTCCCCTCTTCCTTCCTGCCCTCCCTCACCGCCTCCAGGCAGTCCTGCTATTGCTCTTCCCTGCTGGCCTGCAGAAGGGATACAGGGATGCTCCCTGCCTGCCCTCAAAAACAGGGACAGGAGAGCCTGGACCAGGCGTCAGGGGGAGATGGTAGGAGGGCGCTTTGGGGAGCTGCTCCCCCCTGCTAGTGCAGACCTAAGCACTGGAGGTGTGTCCCCCCAGGAGGGACGTGTGCGGGACCAGTCGGGCAGGCTGAGTGCCACTGGCTGTCATTTGCCTTTGCTTTAAAAGCCTCTCGTCCTGCCCGTGGGAGCTCCTCCAGACTGGGATTGCTCAGCTCCCTTGTGCTCTCCGAAGGATGGGCAACATCCCTGCCGTGCTCCCCTGCCCGCTTGCAGCCTTTCGGTGTTAGCACGGCTGCAAATGGCCATCCAGGCTCCAGTGCCGGTGCTGGCACCGCTGGGCTCGGTGGCCCTGCAGGGCTCCCCTTCCTGCTCCGAGCATGTTTCCCACAGTAGCTACAGCCCTTTGCGAAGCAGTCACAGGTCTCTGGGTAAAGAGGCTAAAATTCATGGGAATATTAATCTTATTTGGCTCCCCAGGAGCAGCCCCCATCTCCAGCCGGCTGTGGGAGAGCGTGCGGGCTCCCAGCCCTCTCCTGCCAAGGTCACACATTAACTTGCAGTGCAGCCACCCTGGCCCATTCGCATTCAGCACAGCCTTCCTGTTCCCGGGTTCCCAGCACGGCCAGGGGCTGATCTGCATCTCTGCCGCGGCCTTTGGTTTTCTAGTCACCTCTCCATCTTCGAAGACCCACTTTCAAACCCCTCTAGCCTATTTTTCAGAAGCATCAAACACCCCCCAGCTCCACGACCCTAAGGAAACGCAACAGCTCACCGTCACCAAAAAGACCAGATCCCCTTTCAAGCGCCCAAAAGCACTGGCAGCTTTCAGAGGCATAGCTCTGCGTTCACCGCCTCACCCACAAGATAACCTGTTTTTGCTTGAGCTCCTGTCAACACAGCTGCAATGAAGGTACGTGGAAATAAAGATGCAGAGCAATAAAGATGCATCTCTTCTGGGGTGAGATAAGCTGAGGTCTGGCAAGGCGAGCCGGAGCAGTTAGTCCTGCAATGCAGCCCAAGCCAGGCTGGCCGAGCTGGAGCCTGTGTCGCGAAGGAGCCCACGGTGGCTTTTGGACCTGGGATGGCACGAGGTGGAGCAACACTTGGGTGCTGCTGGCTGGGTACGGCTGTCCTGTGGGCCAGCAGCGTGGAGGGACAGGGTCAGTGCAGCCCCCCAAATGATTTTGCGGGGGGGGGGGGGGGGGCGCGGCGCCGCCTCCTTACGTCTCAGCATCCTGCTCTGCCATATGGCACCATGTCCTCCACGTCACCGGAGAGGACCGTGGCCGACGCCGTGGCCTGTTTGCAGCACTCACACATCCCCCCGCGAGCAAAGGGCTTTTCTTAGTGTGCTTTCCCCCACGCTGAGAGCGCAGGCGCAGCAGGCTGCCCCGGCTCGGCGGGGAGCAGTAACCCATTAACCTGCCGTAACTCAGCCATTCGTACATCTGCGGGTACGAACCGAGACCTGCCACCCCACCTCTCCCCCGCGGCCATCGGGTTTCATCCTGGCACGTCGGTGTGTGACGGGGCCCAGCCGCCTCCAGTGGAAAGCTCCATCACCAACCCTGAAACACCCCATTCCCGCCTAAAGCCTGGGCGGAGGGGGGATGGCGGAGCCAACACCCCTTCCTAGAGACCCTCCTCGGCCGAGGGAGCCGGGCAGCCCTGCCAGCCCCGTGCACCTGCCCGCTCCGGAGACGGCCGCACAGCCCGGGATGGCAGAGTCTGGCACGATGGAGCAGACGTCGCCTCCTGCTCTCCGAGGACATTTTCCCGAAAACAAAGACTGCGGGGGCAGCGATACCATTCTGCTCCCCCCATTTATTTCTCCCAGAGAAGAACACCCAAACAACCCACCCTCTGCCCTCGTTCACCTCCCCTTCCCCTTGCAACAATTCCCGGACGGGGACTCTCCGGTGTCCCCCCGGCTCCCAAGCTGCTCCTCCTCCAGCTCAGCACGTAGCTCGGAGAACCGACCCCGGGAAACCTTTCCAGCCTCACCTACCTGCCCTTTCCCCGCGCTCCGGTACCCGGGCTCCGCCGCTCCGGGCTCCGCCGGCTGCTCCAGCCCTGCTCCGGCCGCCGCCGTCCCGCCCTGCTCCGGAGGAGGCGAGGGAATGGAGGTTGAGCAGGGAAAACTTTGCAAAGCGAAAGGAAAACATCCAAGCTCAGTCAGGGAAACAATTTTTTTTTTTTTCCTCTCTCTCTCTCTCTCTCTTTTTTTTTTTTTTTTTTTTTTTT